GGGGAGGTGGGTTGGCAAAGACCCCACACCCCTCCCCAGAATCCCCATCCAGCTCCATGTGGTTCATCCCCCATCCACAGCGGTTTTGCTGGGTGGGGTGCAGGATTTGGCCCCGTCCTTGCAGCAGTAAGGGCAGAGCTGAGCTAGCAGAAGCCCAGGCAGAGTTGGCTTTTGGGATCTGGCCGTTGGGTCCCACGCTGGGAGCCCCAGCAGCACCCATGGGTGCTGAGCCTCCCAGAACCCCCAGCCCCTGGAGGTTGGGGCATCACTCCCCAGGAGGTGCCATCATTGTGTTACCTCTTGACCAAGACCCCTCTTCCAGGCAGATTCAGGGCCCCGTGGCCTTCAGGAACTGGAACAGGAGATGGCTTCGAGCCACATCTACTAAAAATGATAAAAAGTAAGGAAAACCACCCGAAAAAGCCCCAAGAGCAGAAAGGTTTGTGTTCCCAGCTTCATACAATCTACCTGGCTGATCTCATCTTTCCCCACCATTGCTCACCAAATTGGTCCCCATCAGACAGCGATGAGCAAGATCAGCCCCCCACTTATTCCACCAGCACCCCCTATATTTGGGGTACCATTACCCCAACCCTCTTACTCCCTCCCGCATCTCTTACCCTGGCGGGGTCCCTGCTCCAGGCTCTCTCAGGGCTTGGATCTGGCCACAGCGCGGGGGACAGTTCATCCTTTATAATGTCCCCGAGGGAGGTGACACCTCCGGGGAGGTGGAGCTCCTCCGCGCTGGCAGGTCTCATCCTGCCCACATCAGCTCCCTGCACCTCAAGGGAGTGCAGGATTAATCCAGCACCCAGTTCATGCAATGAGCATCTTACCCCAGCCCTGGGGAGGCGGGGGACCCAAAATCACCCCCAAAATCATTGGGAAAGCGCAGATGGGTGACCCCAAACTTGGGCACCTGTGGGATAAAGAAATTGTGCTGTTGAAGCCCAGCACTGGCACTCAGCCTGTCCCGGGATACAGGGTACGGACCCCAACACCTCCTGCGGCACTGGAGATGCATCAGCGAGCCAGGACGATGCTCCAGGCTGACGGGAGCCTTGGCATCAGGGAGTCGAGGTCCCAAAAAGCACAAGGAGCTCATAACGGTGGTGGGGGTTTTTTTCCACGCTTGTCCACCCAAGACGCATCCCAGTCCTGCCCACGGGGGTCTCGGCACCCCCAGACCCACAGTAGGGGCTCTGGGATGGAGATTTTCCCCTCCACCCCATGCTGCAGCGGGGCAGCAGCCGGGGCTGAGCCGCTGGGACACCACACAGCAGATGCTGAGCCCCATTTCCAACCCATTAACATGGACCCCGGTGCCTGGGTGGTCCCCGGGGACCAGGACTCATCGGCTGCCTGACCCCGGGCAAGTGACTAGGACCTGGCTGCCCTCACCGTCAGCCACCGCGGCCACACTAAGTGGCAGATTTCGAAGCAAGCCGGAGCAGACGAGAAGAGGTCATGGCTCCCAAGCTCCGGGCTGCCTAATTCCCAATTAATCAGGCGTAAGGAGGGATGGGGTAATGGTCTCCATAGACGTAAGATTTGTCCTCGGCACAGGAATTTATTCAAGGCGGGAAGCTCTTAATTGCGGTAATGAAGGCAAGGGGTTGGGACGAGCAGGACCCTGCGTGACTGCATCAGCCTTCAGCCTCACCCTGGGTCCCATTTCTCCAGGGGTTCCTTTCCCTGCTGCTGATGTGGTCCAGGGCATCGCGTTCAAGCGTCATGTGCAGCTCTAGGGCAGAAGCAATAGGAAAATTTGGGGGTTTGGGCCGTCGTGGATCAGGTTTGGTGTTTTCAGGCTGTCTCAGTGCCTTTAGATGAAAGCAGGCAAGGACGGGCTCGGTGTCACTGCCACCCCAGAGTAGAAGCCCAGCACTGAGCATCCTCCAAAGACCAGGCAGAGATGGGTAGAAACGACCAACACCGCATTTCCCACCCCAGATCCCACACACAATCCCAGAGGAGAATACAGGTTTGGTTTCCTCCCGCCAGAAGCACAAAGCCCCTTTCACCCCACTCCTGGGTGGATGCATCCCACCAGGCTATGGCGATGCCTTCCTCCATCCCTGCCCAACCCACGCCAGAAAGGTCCCAAACAGGACACGGAGAGACCAGCCACAGCTCGGCAACCCTATGGGGTTGGCAGGGAAGGGACCCAAGCCCCAAACAGCATCTGCAGCCTCCGCACGTTTCCCCCACTGCGGTCAGAGTCATCACCAAGGAGAAAACCAACACCTTGGCCTTGACCTCACGTCTTTGACCTCCTGCTATTAGCAGAGCCCTCCAGTGTGGGAAGCAATGCCTTGTGGTTTTTAAGAGAAACGGGTGACGCTGGTGCTGGCATGTGTAAGTAGGAGTCAGCACTATATATACATGGCCCCTCGTTGGGATGAGAAGCCGAAAATCTTTCCGACCCCACAGCCATGCCCTGCAAGGCGCTCGCCGTCTGCCTCCTGGGGCTCCTGGCTCTCTCCTCCGCTTGCTACATCCAGAACTGCCCTATCGGGGGCAAACGTGCCGTCCTGGACATGGACATCAGGAAGGTAAGTCCCGACGGGCTGGGAGACCTCCTAACCCCCTCCTTTCCTTCTCCCTACCTTCCCCAAGCCTCCCCAGGGCTCCTGCAGGGAAGATCGTGGGAGGAGGGAGGAAAGGACCAGGGGAGAGGCTCGACCTAACCCCAGATGCTTTCAACTCTCCCCCACCTTTCTTCACCCCCTTCCCCAAGCAGTGCATGCCCTGCGGCCCCAGGAACAAGGGCCACTGCTTCGGTCCCAACATCTGCTGCGGAGAAGAGCTGGGTTGTTACATCGGCACCTCCGAAACCCTGCGATGCCAGGAGGAAAACTTCTTGCCGACACCCTGCGAGTCGGGACACAAACCCTGCGGCGGCAGCGGAGGGAGCTGCGCGGCCCCCGGAATCTGCTGCAGCAGCGGTGAGGGCAGCGCCGGGTTCTCCTCCTTTCTGGGACCCTCAGCACAGGGGGCCTCACACACGGGAGGTCACGATATAAAAGTGGGAGAGGGGATGTTGCCCAAAGGATCATCTTTGTCCCATCTATCTGCCCAACAGCCAGGGCCACCCCACTCAAGGCAGACTTGATGCTGACCCCGGGGAAGGTGGGAACAGCCCGTGAGGTTTTAAGGAAGGGGGAAAAGCAAACAGGAAACAAATTTAGGGGGCTGAGCAAGCAGCAGGAGTCCTGCGGCGCACGGCAGCCCATGCTCCCTCCTGCTTTCCTTGTGGTTTTCCAAAAATCCCAGCCTCCTCCCAAAGTCAGACACTACCAGAGATCCTGCTACATACCCCGGGGAGCTGCAGGGCACGAAGCCACCACCATCTTGTTCGATGTTATTAAAAACCAGCGCCAGGGGGTCTCTGAAGGCTGGTTTGTGCCATCTCATTTTACATGGTGCTCTCCCCTTTCTCTCCCCGCGCAGAGGGCTGCGTGCTTGACTCATCCTGCGACCAAGAAATGCTGATTGCATAGACCACCCGGGGGAGAAGAACCTACAGGATCCCTTATCTCTTGAGCCGTACCAGCCCCGCATCAGGCTGAGAACAGACGAGCCACGGTCTGTGACTCAGATTTAAATGATGATCTTAATTAGAAATAAAACTTGTACAGGACAAAACAAAAAAAAAAAGTAGTCTGTGTTTTTCATGTGCTTGTCTGGTTTAGGTGCAGACTCGTGAGGGCTGGCTGGAGAGAAAAAGCCGTTCTTAGGGAAGCATAGACAAAAAGCAAGGATTTAAGGTCAATTCCTGCAGCTGGTGATTTATTTGAGGGAGGGAGGGCAGAGGGACCTGTGGTCAGTCTGCCAGCGCTCTGGCTGAACCACAGCAAACTCCAGGCCGGCGTCGGGCAGCCCAAAACCAGTGGTTTGGGGGCAAAGCTGAGAGAACAGCTCAGTCTGCAAGACCACAACAAGCCAGAACCGCCAAAGAGGACCCAGACTAATGAGAGTATTACCTACAAATTAAGCCCCAGGTGATGAGTAAAATAAGGCTGTAGGGAGTGGAAGAGAAAAGGAGACATGTAAAAGCCAGTATCATTTAGACATCCTCTGCAGAGTTTTCTCATTTAGGCACACCAACAGGTGTGCAAAGGAGGGTTTAAAGGCTGAGCAAGAACCACAGGTCCTTCCACCACAGCAGAAAATAGAGAACAATTAATGCTTTCCCCCAGCAACAAAGAGTGAGGGGTCAGTGTTTCCTCCAAAGCCATTCCAACCTCATTTTTTTTTTCCAAAAGGATCTAGAGGGGTCCACACACAAACAGTGCCGGGGCTACACCGGGGAGATCAGAGCCAGGATCTGCCTGGGGACTGTTCCTGCTCTTCTCCCACTACACGCTTCGTATGAAAGCAGGAGGGATCCAAACACGTGGGAGGTAGAATAGCAGAGAGTCAGAGTGACGGGAATATGAACACTGGCAGCTTCTCTGCTGCCTCGCAGGGCTAAGACAGACTGCTGGTGGTGCCTTTGCCACTCATGGTAACTCACTGCAAGCCCAAGTTTCTCCCTCACCCTCCCTCCCACAGGCATTAACCCTTCAGAAGAACCACAGCCAGACCCGCAGGCTTTCTCCAACAATTCTGTAGTCGATTTATACATTAAAAGGAAGAAACCAGCTCGTAAGCGGAGCCTCTGGCCAGAAGCCAGGCCAGCACCCCCTGTCCCAGGCTGGGGCCGCTAAGACAACACCGTCCGTTTGACAATCCGCCCGTCCTTGTCGATGGCGAAGTTGTAGTTGCGAGGGTTGTCCAGGCACTCCTCAATCCGCGCGTCCAGGTTCTCAGGGGTGATGAACGTTTTGGCTTCCTCCTGAACAAAGGACAAGTATTGGCTCTTAATGCACGTTAGTGGACGAGTCACTACTGGCAGTGCAAAAGTTGCTGGTGCCCACAGAGCTCATGGATCTCCGAGAGACCCTGAGATGCCACCAGCATCACCAGGATCTCAGCAGGAGCCAAGTGCAGAACGAGGATGCCTTTATTCTCTCACTCAGGGTTATTCCACCCTGTTCTCAGAGTTCTCAACTTCTATCCCATCCACACACTGTCAACACTCCTGGAAGGCACCAACACTTGCATTCCCAGCTACCAACATAAAAATCTCTGGAAAGTAAGCCTACTGCTTCCACACCACTCCCACGGGCTGCCAAACCCCTGACAGGGACTGCTGGCAGCGTTCTTCCCAGCAGGAACCAGCTGCTCTTACCTGCAGCTGGAGAACCTCCTTCTCCTTCTCCTTCAGGAAAGCCTCCATTACCCTGGCCTTGTTCTCTGCAACCTGTAACTTCTGCCTTTTCCGTTCTTCTTCTTCTTTCCTAAGTCTTTCCTCTCTGCCATACGGAAAGGAAAATCAAACAACAAGGCTTCAGTGAATGCTCACGCCCTGCAGGGTGGCACTTTGGTGAGACACACTAATCCCTCGAGATGCAAAGCCACCAAGTTTGAGCACAGCCAGAAGAGAGGGGAAGGAGCAGAGCAGCCACACCGGGGAAGAGCATTCGTGCTGTCTCCAGTGTGGGGAGGGAGGAGAATTCTCCTCCTCCTGCGAGAGAAAAACTAATGCAAAACCTTAACGCAAAAGCTTTCAAACAGAGCAGCACAGACACGCATGACACAGACCTGAGACCTAGCTGGGTTTGGCTCCATTCAGGAGCTCCAAGTCAGAACACGGGATTCTTCTGGCAGGACCTGGAAGGGGAAGCTCAAGTGCCTTGTGACGGGCCAAGGGACAGCCAGTGGGGACAGGACAGAGGGGCTTTTCCCTTTAACCTTCTACTGCTTTCAAGACTCAGCAGACGCTGATTTTATTGGAAGCATCGGCACACTTCCCATGCCTGACCAGAGGATGGCTCCCTGGGAGCGGCGTGGGAGGGAATGCAGAGAAATTTATCTTCCCAATGAAATCGACCTCCACAGGAGACCGGGAGGCTGTCCCGAGCTCAGTAACTTACATGACCACTGCGTATGCAGACTTAGTTAAAAGGTCAAAATTTAGGACTAGCGTCTTTGTAAAAATTAAGTCTGACTCTAACGAACGCGGGTGTTGAATTTAATTCTGCAGGAGCAAAAGTCAAAGCCATGAAGAGAAGTGCCCCCCTGGCTTTGTGTGGTTTCAGGCTGACCTGCGTGCCCGCTGCCGGGCGTTCTCCTCCTCATTCCATGCCATCAGGCGCCGGTGCTCCTCCGTCAGCGCCACCGAGTCCTCCCTGGACACTAGTGCCTCCCGTTTCTTCTGCAGCACCTCGGCCCTGAACTCGGCCCTGCCAGGAGAGGAAACCACTAAGCTCCTGCCCAGGGCTGAGCAGCTGGGGGGGTGTCTCCCAAGCCTGCCCCACACCCGTCCCAGCCCCACCACCCTGGCCCTTCCCTACCCCACAGTAACCTCAAGTCTAGCTGCCCCTGCTCCAAAGTGGCCCCAGACCCCCCAACCTTCCCTTGCTCCACAGCCAGCCCTCTCCCTCACAGTAGCCCCACATCCAGCCCCACAACCCATCTCTGCACCACAGGAATGCTCGAACTGCCACAAGCCCAACCCTCCTCTTCCCCACAGCAGCCTCACAGGCCTATACCCAGCTCCCTGCCCCATAACCAGCCACCTGCCCCACAGCAGCTTCCCACCCAGCCTCCTGCCCCACAGCAGCCCCATACCCAGAGCTACAGTCAGGCACTCGAGCCTCCCCTGCCCCACAACAGCCCCACAGGCCTATACC